TACTCATGCTGGGGACGGAAAAAGAAAAGGTGTGTTCTCCATTCAAGAGGAAGAGCTGCTGAAGGAAGACCGAGTGGAGGCTAATGAGGTAGTGCTAGGGTTGCCAAGTGAGGATAACGATGACAGACAGAAGTGCTGTTCTTTCTGCTTTTGCTACCGTAAGTGTGATACAACTGATGAGAACAGTGAGAAAGACGAGCTTTCCTACTCCATTCCCTTGCAAGTACTACCAGGCATGCAGTTGGACAGCCATGCCATGCCTGTGGTCAGCAAAACACTGCAGGTGCTTGATGCAGAGGACTGTAGTGGGGAGGTGGAAGTGGAGGATCCCCAAAGCCACGAGATTGATTTGCGAGCCTGTGGTAGCCTGGAGGCAAGCCTATCACGAGTAAAAGCCTTGCAGGGTAAGACATTTTCCCTACCAGATGGGTTCTTGACTGCACAGCTTGATGCTAACGAGTTGCTTGCCATCCTGCGACAGTGTGCAAGCAGCCCACAGGCTGAGGATGAGCTTCGCCTGCAAGCCCCTCAATTGGCCGAATACAAACAAGAGCTAGCCTTGCGTTTCAAGGAGTTTCGGGCATCGTGCCGGCGAGTAGCAGGTGTAGAGAAATCCCCCACGCGAATGCTGAGCGCTGTTACTGCCAGCTTTCAAGTGCTTTGCAGTTTGACACAGTCCTTCATCCAGCTAGTCAGAGGCGTGCGGTCTGAGACACAGAGACTGCAGCTGCTGCGCAAGGTGGAGGAGGTGGCAGTCAACTACACTCTGCTCCTGCGTGCTGCAGAGGAGTCGATGGGCCACTCAAGCAGCCTGCCCACCAAAAGCAGCAGCCCTCTACCTGGCAACCCTGCAGCAAATATGGGCTCTCTCAACCGTCCCATCAACAGCCTGAGCACTAAATGAAACCCAAGCTCAAACCAAGGCTTCAGAATTGAAGGCCCATCTTTATCTTTGTCTGACATTTTCCGAGACACTGGACTACTGCAGTCAGATATAATGTGGGTACTTTGCCCTGGCCAACCCCCTCTTTGCTGTTTACATTTAGTCCTGTGAACTCCACATGAATTATTCCATCTTCAGCACTGCAATACAATTGCTACTTTCACATGTTTACAAAGGCATTATAAGAAAAATAACCACCCACCAAGTATAACCGTATATATGGGAAAGGGAGAACTGGAGACATTCTACTCTAAGATTCTGGGCACTATGGACAGAGCTACATGCACGACTGGCTGAAGGAAATAAACCCTTGCCCTTCGGCTAACAACTGGAAAAGTCTTTATATCAGCCTGGCTAAGGATTTTATTGTTTTTTTTTCCAGAGAAGTACAATTTTGTGTTCAGTAAAGTATATCTTATTATGATGATGATCATATTGATGATTATTACAATAATCATGATAATTCTGATTAAAGCCCTTCTATTTAATATGCACTAAGAAACAAACTCCTCTAGAGAAAATGTTAAGTAGCTGGTTGTATAAAATGTTTGGCATTGACTGGTCAGGTGATGTGTTTGTTTGTGTACTGTTTGATTGTTATGATACAATGCAGACTACATTGGACATCTTAACAACTTCTTAAGTGCAACTCTAAAATGTACCATTTTCATAGTCTTTGGAAGTTGTATCATGAAAATTGCCACACGTTACGGTTGGGTTTCTGTGTCTCAACCATGCACAGTCACCCACAAATGTGGAATGGAAACACGGATAAGGCAAACCTGCTCAGGGCAGATAATGTAGCAGAGACCCAAACCCATGCCTCATTTACATCAGCCAGGACAGGTGCTACTTCCTGGTGGCAGTACAGTCTCTCCATGAGCAATTTAGTGAGGTAATGCTTACAGTCCACGTTACACTTCAGCTTGTCAGTTGAAAGGGCACATAAACAGATGTTCATCTGTGGCGCTAACGTGACACCTCATCCAGTGCAACTGCTGACACATTCCAGTGGAAAGGCTTTCCAAGGCTAAGAAAGCTTCTCAAATTTTCCCTCATATACACAAAAATTAGTTTATAATGACATATCATGCACAGCTACTCTGTCTTTTTCAACTACTGTGTTTTTCTAACATAGCATAGAGGGTTAGGTTCTTTTCCAAATAATCCTCAAGCCCTATATTCATGTTAAAAAAAATAATAATTTTGTATTGTAAGAGTTTGTTCTTCTTCACTGCCACAGTAAACATCTCCATGAGGTCCTGCCCCTTGAGCTATTGGATATGACGTTTTTTTTAAATTATGTATCAGTTATCCATTGTGAATTCTTGGAGATATTTAAAAAAAAAATCCCAACAAAGTAGTTTTTTATTGTATTTTAATAAAACAAACACCTGTTCTCTGTCTCAACATTTCTGTCTGCTACTGTTCTCTCCTTTGAGACACTTGGCTGGTGTAAGACTCACTAAATCCTGACCAACATCCTGCTGCTTTCAGGACCAAGCCACAATGATTTAGCGGCTCCGGGGAAACACCCACATCCCGACAGCATCCATTCCATGCCATGTTTACTCACCTCTATCTGTCACAACATTGTTCATCTGTTTCTTTTCCTACGATGTCCATAATATAGACAGTTTCTGGATCCCACTGCTGAAGGCACATATTTGTCCTTGTCTGCTCCAGCAATGGGTTTGCGATTACATGCCCGACGGCCTTGTTTTAGTGATAATGCTGTGGTTACATGAAAACAAATCTGAGAACCACATAGAGACCGGTGTTTCGAAATGGCACTGTATTTTCTTTCCTTTTTAAAATTCTCTGAGGATATTATTAACTTGTACGATATTGTAAAATCAAATGGGATATTTGTGAAAGAAAAGTTTTAGAATATTTAAAAGTAGAAGTGTGAAGATTTATCAAAAGGCTTCACTGTTTTGTAGAAGAAAAAAAATCACAATATGAAAATATTTATAGTAGTTATGTATCATAGACATGAACAGTTAGTTATATTTTAAAGCCTATATACCAATAAAAGTAAAGCATGGGCCATATTTATTTTTGTAACCTACTCTAATTTTAAGCATACTGTTGATCTTATTTAATGGAAAATTTTATTTATCAAATATTTTGACGGTCACATTTTTCGGAATATTTTGGGTTACACACATTGTTTACTTACGTTCTTAAACTATGAATGTCTGTTTCATTCACTTGTGTATGTTTTTTGTGTTACGTAAGACTTTTTGAATTATTTGTGTCAGTGACTGTCTTCATTATACTCTTATGTCTGTAAAATGTGTTTCATGTTTTAAAAGCAATAAAGTGTAAAAGTCCACACACTCAGTTTATATATTAAAATACTTAAACGTTTCAAAAAATACTGATCATGTGAAACACTTTTGAAGAAACTCCTGGATTTACTTAAAGCATACCTAAGCACTTCGCTGATTCTATTTCACTATCGTATTTGTTTTGACTTACAGAAAAGCATACTATTCCAGCTCAGTAATATCTCGTTAAGTATTTTTAAAAATACATTTTCGCATTAATTTAGAATGATTAAAGCATTTCAGATCTCAAGGTCTGCTATGTTAAAACATATCCACAGCTAAACTTTGGGTGGGGTAATTAATAAAGTCACATACGAAATTTTCAAGATGCAGTACTTTTTTTGCCATATAACTTACTTATTAGGAATTTCTCTCAGTGCACTTGTTCATGCCAAAACAACCAATCACAGCACAACACATAAAAAAATAAAACACGTAACATAAAATCCCTGCCTATAAAATAAGACTAATGCAAATAATAATGTCGGTAACTTCAGCAGCCTCTAAAATCACTTTATAACAAGTTAATAAACAATAGTATAAAATACAAGAGGTTCTGATGCAGAATAAAGATGCCAAGTGCTTCAAGATACAGGATAATACAATACAACGTCAGTCATTTCATAAGATACTGCACATCATTATACTCATTAATGTGGTTATCTCCAGTGGCCTGTACTACGAAACGAGGTTACTGGCTTATCGGGGTAACTTGTCGGATTTAAGGTAGTCTGGGCAAAATGTAAGTGAACGAATATATACTGTATGAAGTCCATTTAAACTGTGGTTCGTTAAATCCGACAAGTTACCCCGATAAGCCAGTAACCCCGCTTCGTAGTACAGGCCACAGATTAGGCAATTCACCCCAGTATACATAATCAGTGCCCCGTCATAATTACAATCTACAGGTTACAAGTTATTTAGTTCTTTAGTTCTCAACATTGTAGAAAATAACACAAAGTAAAACGTATGTTAGTAAAAACAAAAGTCCTGAATATATGCCATACATTCCAGGTTATATTTTCATTGTTAGATTCCTTTTTCAAACTGCCGCGGAAATTTCATGATCAAGCCGGCGTGCAAATCCCAAACTGCCTAGTTTTTTTTAAAAAAATATATACATATGAAGATCGATATACACATTGTTTCTCGGCTTACGTTATTTGTAGTAAAACATATATCTGAGTATAATATGTACTTCTCGAGTTACAATAATAACATGTTGTTCAGTAAAGCTAAACAGGAACACCTAATGGTTCTGCGATGGATTTGTGTCTGCGATGGATTTGTGTGCGATGGAATATATGATCAGTCAAGGGTCAGCTATAATAGCTATAGAAGACGCAAGGCCATTTCGCTAGAAATATCAAATTCAGTGATAACAATGACAAACACGTGATGTTTTATATCGGATACACGCAACCCTGTAAATGAGCTTCCTGCGACAGAGCTGAACTTACTGCTTGTGGTATTTGTGCTTAGGACATAAACAGGAATTTGTTTTAAAAACGAAAAAAATAAATTGATAATTTCAGTGCGATACTCCTTGATTGCCGTCTCTTAGCAAGCCGTAACATAACGGACAACCCAAGAAATAAGAACCAATAGCACCGAATGCTGACTAATCAGTAATACGAACTGAGACCTCGTGATACGACTAGGTCCAATAGAACGTAAGACGTCGCGCTCGCGGCTGAAGGAAGAGCCAGCGTGACGTATACGCGCCGAGGGGCGTGCCAAAAAGTGATGCCGCGCGCCACCGAGGGGAAGCGCGCGCAGGTTACGATGGAGGAGAGGTAGAGTGTGGTGTGTAGCTAGTGCGGCGTTACACATTTCTAAATGTAAGCAAATTAAGGGGCAGATATCTGGTTTTCGTCTCCAGTTCATCAAACAACACATCTCGGTCGGACTTCGACTTAGGTTGAAATTCTCGTTTGACTCCTGAAGAAGCCAGCTCACTTGAACGGCCAGACATGCCGAACATAAAGATTTTCAGCGGAAGCTCTCACCAAGACCTGTCTCAAAAGATCGCTGATCGCCTGGGACTCGAGTTGGGAAAAGTCGTCACCAAAAAATTTAGTAACCAAGAGACCTGGTGAGTGCATTTTTGTTTTGCGATGCGGATGACCACGTGTTCGGCTAAACAGCCACGCTGAAGGGTAACGATTTGTGCAACATGAGGGTTTAGCTAAACCACATGCGCTGTATCTACGGGCAGTTTAGTTCGGGGGCATTGTGGGCCTTGTAGTTAACAAGGCATTGGTGTCCCGAAATTAAGCGCTAACAGTTGGCCCACCGATTATATATCGGAAAATATGCGACGAAAACAATTCAACCTCATATTTCTATTAATGATCGGATTGGCTTCGTTTGGCTATACAGGCCTTGGGTCCGCATGAATATTATATCCTAATAGTTTCTTAGAAAATATTAAATTATTGAAACCTGTATGACTCATTTAAGCTAGTGCTTACAATGACGTATTATTATTATATATTGTAGTATTAAAGGGAAACTTGAGCGTGCTTTGGTGAGACAACTATATCTCCTGTATTGGGACAATTCCACTCGAATAAAAATTTCCTTTAAAATATCTTTTAAATTAAAACATTACTGCAACTTAAGATATCGAGTGAAAGTCATGATAAATGTAACGGTGGGGCGAGGACTGGTATATTTAGTTATAAATTAGCACACCCGCTATGTCTATAATTTCTCTATTGTTCACTAACCCTCGATTATTCATGCCTGCACATGTATACGATTAAACGCATTTTTTTTACTTACAGCTGAGTTTCTTCGAATCCTTAGACATTTATTCTTTCCTGTTCCTGGTTGGGATGGTTATTTCTGTAATTTGAAGCTCATTTCTTTGTCAGAACTTAACATCTTCCATCTGAGTTGAAAATAAAGATGGATTGTAACTTTGACATTTGTTAGTACTTGTTGGGCATAGATTAGTGCCACATTATAATTAGGTGCATTAAACATTAATAAAACATTCTTGGTTACTTAGGTGATTGGCTGTACTCAGAATATAGCTGTAAAATATTGCCATTCACCCTTTTCCAACAAAAAATATGTGAATTTACAGTGTCTCCCAATAATTAATTATTATAATGAATTATCTATGGCTGAATAATGGTTCATCATGAAAATGTGTGCTCTGCATGTAAGTTTTGTTAATTTATCTGCCCCACAGTAAGAAATTTGCAGTTCTACCTTGGAATTGGTTTTGTGTGAGACTTAAAGTGAGATTGAAGTTACACAGTATATATTTTCATGTGTTGTTAGCATGAAAGTTGAATAAAAGCTGTAGATCTCTCACATGTGCCTATATTTGTTAATCATAGGTGTGTGTTTTGTAAGTTGTCTAATTCAGGATTGAAACTGCATCAGTGTAAACTGTGCCCACAATATTGAAATAAGATTACTGACTTTACATGACAGCTGCTATTCGATCTCTTGCATGAGTGTGATGTTTGACAGTGTAGGTCACATGGTTAGGTGTTGACCTCTGATGCCCCCATAGGTCACGGGCTGCTTTGATTCAGACTCGGCTGCTCTTGCGTTGGTGCAGGTTACTAGTCCACATATAAACCTGAACGGGAAAGGTTTCGGTGGATAGAGAGGCACTGCTATGTCAGTGCAGGCTGTGGAAGGTTGGCCGTGAAGACTGTTTAATAAATAGTCATTTTTGCAGTAGCCAAAGCCAGTGGGTGTGTGGCATGCTGGTGTGGCCGTCATGGTAGATCCAATTTCTGTGTTTCTGCCTCTGGCTATGGATAGACAGGACCGTGTGTAAACTCGGTGGCTGCCCTGTGCCATTAAAAAAGACAGTATAATTTCAAAGGATACGTAACGGTCTTTCAGAAGGATAAGGTGAAGTTTCATTAGTTAAAGGGGGCAGTTTGAATTTTAAGAGCATAACACTAATGGTATGATTGTGTATTTTAAATATGGAGCTTTATTTTAGCTAGTGTGATTGTTTATCACTGGCTCGTTGGGTAAAATGTTATATAATTGACTTGTATCAGTTTTGTGTTTTTCCCTGTTGAAGGGACAGTGGGCTCTTAATTTCTGACCAAATTCTGGTCAGCAAAATGGGTGGCGAAAAATACTGTAGCTCTGTAGGAAAAAATACTTTCCACCATAAAACATATCTGATCCTAATATTAATGTCAGTGTCATATTTATAGAAACTAGGGATTAGACAATAGGTATGTTATAACTGTTGTCATGCAAAAGCATGCATAGCCATTCATCTAATTCATCTAACTTCATCTTCTATTCATGTTAAACAATGCCAGGTTATGCTTCTTGGACTGTTGTGGGTGGCCCCACTTTCAACGACGGTAGTTGTGGTAGTCGGCAGGCTAATAACAGAAGGAGTGACTAGCTTTCTTTCCCCAGCAAAATAAATTAGTGTGATTGATTGCCTGTTGCTGGCTTCCAAAGGAGCACTTCAGACTGTTTGCCATGCCGTCATGTGATCGCCGCGCCTTTTCCAGGACTGTGCCACTCTGAAAGCTGTAGGTAGAAATCAGTAATATCAGTGTGTGCTTGTCACCATGCTGACCGGATCGCTTTAGCCCAGACTGGCTTTTCCTGTTGGCCAAAATTATCCAGCATAGTCACTGTACAGCAATGTGCTGGTTCGCCACCCTGTTCTCAGAGTCCACCTCAGAAGCGACAGCCTTAAATGTGATGGGGGAGTGATGGCAGTGAAGGCAAAATGCAAGTATAAGAGGAGTGTGACAAACAGGTGCGTTTGACATTTGAGAAGCCCTTCTTTTCACCTTATTCTTTGGTGAATTGTTTGTTTGCACCCTTTGTCATTATAAAAGACAGTGTCATTTCAAAAGATACATACCGGCCTTTCAGTAGGATAAGGTGAAGTCTCATTTGTGAAAGGGGGCAGTTTGAGATTTAAGAGGGAATGTAACATTGATGGTATGATTGTGTATTTTAAATATGGAGCATTATTATTTTAGTATAGTCATTCAAAGAATGGCTAATTAACCATTAACCAAGTCTGTTTTTTGATGCCCATTTTAGTTCTTGTTTTCTTGAATTTGTTACTGAAATTCCACTAATTATTCTGGAATGGCGCGTGCCCATCCATTCAGACTGACTCGCATTCCCTGGAGAGTTCCACTTCCATCTAACAATGTTGTGTATCCAGGATGGGCCCTCCTTTTTCATGTACCTTTTTCCAAAGTGGTTACAGGGCAGGCTTTCCAAGTAGAATGACTCCTTGAGATACTGAGATGTATCTCTGAGTGTGTTTTCATGCACAGGCGTGGCACGTGGTATGGGTCGGGTAGTGACACAGTGCCTTTTGCCGAGTCTGATAGACAGCCGATTAGGAAAGGAGATGCACAGGTGAGATTCTCTGTTCAGTTGCATTTTGTTCGGTATCAGCAATAAACAAATGTACATGGTGTAATAACCATCAGGTGGCAATGTGATGTGTAGTGGAGGCAAAATGCAAGTGGGAGTCTGACAAGCCAGGTGCCTTTGACATTTCAGAAGCCCTTCATACCTTAACATCTTTTGGTGAAACGTTTGTTTGCATCCTGATGCTCCCCTTTTAAATACTAATTGCCCGGTGATAGGCTGTCCTTGTTTTTTGGGCATGTCATACTCGCTGGATACCCCCCATGTCAACTGTTTTGTTTTTGGCTCCACCACAAAAAAACAGTGGCATTAGCTAAGCGCCCCACAACTTGGGTATAAAGTCAGCTTCCCATCTGAAGAGAGACTCTGTCCTGTGCCCCCCCCCCCCCCCCCCCAGCGTGGAGATCGGTGAGAGCGTGCGCGGGGAGGATGTCTACATCGTCCAGAGTGGCTGTGGCGAGATCAACGACAACCTGATGGAGCTGCTGATCATGATCAATGCCTGCAAGATCGCCTCGGCCTCCCGTGTCACCGCCGTCATCCCCTGCTTCCCCTACGCTCGACAAGACAAGAAGGACAAGGTGAGGGCAAAGGGTGTCTGCCCAGCTGCCTAACTAACCACACCTAGCTGGCTTACTGTAACCGACCTGCCCTTTCAGATTATAAAGATGTGGTTGGTTGTGGTCTCTTAAGTTGGCATGGTTCCTGTTCTAGATCTTTTTGTTTTGTTTCCTCCCTCCACATGCTGCTCATGGGAATTTTACTTGCGCAAAAATGTTCTGAGGGGAGAAGGAAAAATTAATAGTTCAGAGAGAGAACCAATCAGACCGTAGAGGTGGGACCAAGCAACTTAAGGAGGTGGGGCCAATATATCTGATTGGTTGGTCCTACCTCCTTTAGTTGCTTGGATCTGCCTCTCTGAACCAATCATTTTTCCTTCTGCCCTCAGAACAATTTTGTGTAAGTAAAACTCCCATGAGCCCATATGGTGCTCCTGATCATGCAGATACACCAGCCTGCAGTGGCATTGTATGCAACTATTTTCTGATACATTTTTGGCAGAATGAGTGAGGGGCTTTAATGGTGGCTCTGTCTGCTACCCTTTCAGAGTCGCGCCCCCATCTCCGCTAAACTGGTGGCCAACATGCTGTCTGTCTCTGGAGCCGACCACATTATCACCATGGATCTGCACGCTTCTCAGATACAGGTTGGTATGGAAGTGAAATGAAAGGGCATGCCAGCTTTATTCTGATGCCACTACAGCTGGACATTCAGGTGTATCTAGCTTTAACTCTTTGTGAAGTTTGGAACCGCTTGTTTTAAACTTGTTTTAAGTATAAGAGTATTCAGATTCCTTTGCTAAATTCTGAAGCTGAAATACCCAAGGCAATTATATTGTTTGATAGAAACTGCAATAGTAACAGTATAAATAGTACTACAGAACATTTTAAAGGAAAGAAAGTAACTTGATACATTCGTAAGTCTTATTGAAAATAGTTCAAGTTCTTAATGTGCTTTTTTTTGTTTTTAAATCCATTATGCTGGACACTTTGATCCTGCACTAGATCTGCAGTTAAGGAAGATGGATGGATGAATGGTTGACGACTGAATTTAGGGGCTGTTTGCCAGCGGGACCGTGAAGCCCCATTTTGGCAAGAAGCCGTGTGTCTTCCTGACGTCTGGCTGCCGTGCCGTTTGCAGGGCTTTTTCGACATCCCTGTGGACAATCTGTACGCGGAACCCGCCGTGCTGAAGTGGATCAAGGAGAACATCCCTGAATGGAAGAACTGCACCATCGTGTCTCCAGATGCAGGAGGTGCTAAAAGGTGAGCTGGACAAGAGTAATCCACCGGCGTGGTGTGTGGCTCAGCAGATTGGGCTTCTGTTCCTGTAGTCGGAAGGTCGCAGGTTCGAATCCCGTGCTTGGCAGTAGGGCTGGGAATCAGTCATGACCTCACAATTTTATCCGATTTCCATTCACAAGTGTTCAATTGAATTTAAATCCAATTTGAATTTGCTACATCATCTTTTTAGAACAATTCTTTGAGAATTACTTTATCACATGGATTAATGTCAAATATTAACAAAGTTCGAGGTTAATGGTTTTTTTTAACCAGCAAAGAAAATGGTGTGTTTTAGCTATCACATAATGTCCATTACTATGTGAAATTAACCAGACAAGGTTCTTGTTAGGTCCTTTTCTTTACATCATCAATTGTAAATAATAAATTTTCAGCACACGCTAACTAAGAATTAATGAAACTTCTGAGCACTACTTGAAACAAAACGCATTCACAGAAGCCTGTTAATTTTTAAGGCAGTGGAAGATTTTTATGCAAAGAAGGAGCTGGCTATCATGTCCAGGCGTGAATCAGCTGCTTTGTGCAATATAGATCTCTCCCTCTGTAGAGAATGCCCTTTCATTAGGTACACTGGTTCCAGGTAGTGAGGAATCATATAAATGCTGGTATTTCTGAACTTCCTCAGCTGACCCTTCTTCTGCTCCGCTCCCAAACATCTGCTTTAAGGTGCTGCTGTCAGAGAATCACCTTCTGCAGTTGTTAAGCATCAGGGGCTAACGTAATGGAATTCACTTTGCCTTTTTTAGGATAATAACTGTACACTCTATAGATCAGAGACAAAATAGTGCCCCCTTTATGATAAGAAGATATTTTCAAAGGGTACATGTGTAAATTCAAATGTTGGTCTAGGTATTTTTTGAATCTGTATTGAATTATCAAAGGTAGTAACACAATTAATTGTAAAATCGATTTTCTTTTCCCCACCCCTACTCAGCAGAGTAGCCACGTTGTCGCTGGGCCCACGAGCAAGCTCCTTGACTCCCCTAAAAATAGTCCGGGGGCATGTCCTTAGACACCAAATTTCACTCTCACCTTTACATGTGTGTGTACAGTACTGTGCAGTCAAAGGAAATGTTTAAAGCCATTTATCTAGGTAGTAGGTGTATATATGCTCAACAAAAAAAGTGTGACATTAGAACACAGGAAAATTAATAGTAACATAATAAAAACTAACGAGATTTTTTTCGGTTCTCCTAAAAGTTACTGATACCTTCCTGGGTGGCTAGAAGCATCACACGGAAAAAAACACACACACACATTTCAAAGTGCAAATTGTACAACTGTAACATATTTTTTTGATGAATTTCATATTTCACTGATGTCATACGTCAGAAAAAAAAGCATGAGGGCATCATTTTGGGAGTTAGGAATGTCTGACTTCCTAATCATAATCCGTATTTATGTGGGGGACCTTGTACTCTCTGAATTCATTGTGCCGTTGAATGTATGCCCTATAAGTTTTAAGCCTCTGAGCATTTCCGAAACTAACTGTACTCCGTGTACATGCCCTTAGATGAAAATTGCAGAAGTGTTTCAAAAACTTTAACTTGCATATGATATGGTTTTGTGGTTGATGACCAGTCCTGCCAAAGTGTCGTTATCTGAGCCAGAGCTACCCTCAACCAGGTTTGGGGAGTTTTTGGCTGGTGTGATTCTCCCACGCTCCCTCCTCCTCCTCTTCAGTTTCTCCCCATCTGGAATAGCCAGATTCCCATTGAGTTGTAGTTTTGCTCTTCAGATTTCTTTATGCCAGCTGTGGCAGGACTATCTTTGTGTATACACCCGTGATATGTAGACAGCCAGCCACCCTCTAGGTTACATTCCGCACTCTTCTCCCAGTGACTGTGTGGCCTGTTTTCCATACAGTTTTTTCTCTATCCTCGGCTCAGTATTTTGCCTAAAGCATTCACGCATTTGGACAAACGTTTTTGGGGGGCATGGGGCTGAACTAAAACTATATTCCGTGTGAAAACCTTAGCCATCTCTTCACAGGGTTACCTCTATCGCCGACCGCCTGAACGTGGACTTCGCCCTCATCCACAAAGAGAGGAAGAAAGCCAATGAAGTGGACCGCATGGTTCTGGTCGGGGACGTCAAGGACCGAGTTGCGATCCTGGTGGATGATATGGCGGACACCTGCGGCACAATCTGCCATGCTGCCGATAAGTAAGCTCCCTCTGCCATCAGTCTCATGCTCTTAGCGTGCTTGTCCCAGTAGCTGATATAAAGCTCGGAACTTAAGACCGACACTTGACCTAGACTGTGTAGCTGTTAAATTAGAGCATTCGTGGTGTCATGAATAATTAAATGGAAGTTTGTGAAGCATTCCATATTTTTGTGGTGAAGTGGCTCATTTGGTCACATTGTAGCCACCAGGACCGTGGCTTCAAAAATGACATCATATTTAAACCAACATTAAATTTTTTGTCATGCCAGTGATGTACTGATTTCTTGGTGACACGTCCTGAATAAAGCTGTCAGAAGTACTTTCTGCTAGTTTTGCTTTGCAAATCCGTTTGAGCTGCTGTGTGATTCATGTGGTTTTTACATCCTTCAGACTTCTGTCAGCTGGTGCTACCAAGGTGTATGCCATCCTGACCCATGGCATCTTCTCTGGCCCGGCCATCTCGCGCATCAACAATGCCTGCTTCGAGGCTGTGGTGGTCACCAACACCATACCACAGGAAGAGAAGATGAAGCACTGTTCCAAGATACAGGTGAGCAGTCTCGGAGTAGGACATCTAGCATGGCCTCCCTTGGTACAGAGGTTAAGCCACTTCCTTGTTCCTGATCTAACTGTATCTTGTGTATTCTGCAGGCTTTGTATCGTACCCTGCTTTTTTTCTGATATTACATCACTCATGTAACAGTCATGTGACCAGAGCATGCATGTGTTCTCCTACAGGTGATTGACATCTCCATGATTCTGGCTGAGGCCATTCGCAGGACTCACAATGGCGAGTCTGTCTCCTATCTCTTCAGCCACGTTCCCTTGTAACAGCTGCCCTCCAGGAGCCCCCATACCTGTCTGCAGAAACAGGAAGGGGCCCTAGACCCAGGCCACCCCTGCTCACCCTGCCACGCCTTACAAAGCTGCCCCCCCCCCCCTTTACCTGTAAGGAGAGCCATGTTTCACAGGCTTGCTCGGCACCCCAGCATTCACCACGCCATGGGTCCAGTGGTTCTGAGGAATGACTGTCTAATTTCTACTCAGCCATTGTGATTCCACCTGGGGCATCTTCCTCCTCCCTCCAGCTTGCTCCATGTTAGCCCCCCCCATATATTTTGTTACAATGGCTGTCAGTGTGTTTGACAGTTGGGCACATTAAACGCTGACTTAAGTAACCTAGTTCAGTCTTACTCTACTAGTCTGTCCAGAGGCAGTTTTCCACAGTAAACGGAACATGAATGTGTCATAGGTATCAGTGCTGCCGAAGCCAGGTTGGAAAGCAGTTCCACAATGCATGTGTGGGGATGGTAAAGATGTATAATTTTGTAAAGACACCCCCTCCAAGCCCCCCCTCGTGCCTCTAGTCCTTCAAGTTGGTTTATCTAGGCAGCAGCTTTGTTGATAAACAAGCTGTTTGCTTTTTTGTTTGTTTGTTTTTTTTTTTTTAACTTGTCAGTTCTTTGGAAAGCTAATTTTAGTTCACTGTTTCTAAACGAGGTCATCTGTCTGCGCTTGCATCCCCCAAATGACTCCCCTCTTGGTATTTGCTGAATGTGCAGCATTGTCCGTGTGCAGTTCCATGTGTTCTGCGTGGATAAAAGTATCAACCAAGCGAATGACTCCGTGTTTGTGCCCCTCACACACCTCTTACTTGAAAGTGCTAGATTAAATTTGATCCAAATTTTTGAAAGTATCTAATGCATTTATGGACCTGATGTTTATAGGTTGGGCAATGTTTTTTTTTTTTTTTTTTTTTTTTTGGCTTATGTGATTAAACCTACACCAGAACGACAGCACTGCAGAATGTGTGTGTGTATGCACAAAGGTGCATACATTACCTGTTTAACCATTTTCTCTTACTTCCTACTACTTCATGGATTTAAGGAGCATCAGTGTCTGCAACTGACAGATGAATTACACAAAAATGTGGCTAGGTTTTTTGTTGTCGAGGGCAATCATAAAGATGCATGGTGTAATTGGATGCCGAGGGATTCTCATACAGGGAATTTTATTTGGCTTTGGTTCCTCCCCTGCCATGACCGGATATTGTACACTTGGCCAGACCTCTTCATTAAAATCACGGTGAAGAACTTATTCTCTGTCACTGAAGCAAGGTGCAGCTCGTGCAATAGGGCCTCTCAGGAGAGTAGTGCACTTTTTTTTTTTTTTTTCCCTGGGCAGCTGTCCGGAAACGCGTAATGCCTTTGATAAAACACCACTGTTGTTCCAACGCTTAATATTAAATCCACAGCAGAAAGTTAACAGTAAGCAGTACTCGTGGAACTTTTTATACGATCTGCCATTTGTTTGGGTTTCCTGTCACATCCTGGGGCTTACGTAGTCTTCAGCAAAATTATCACCGTGTAAGTAATTGGTAAACTGGCATTGTCTTCAGGTGATTCTTAAAATCCAACTGCCAGTTTGCATCTCTATGGCTGTCGTAACCTTGACTGAGTGGGTGGGTGATGTGTTTGCGCTAAAATCTGTGAACTCACTAATTTCAGTGTTTCCAATGAAAACAAGTGCATTGCTAGCAGTATAACTGTTCTACTGTCTTTCATTGTAACATGCTTGTCAGATCAAATTTTTGGCACATAACATCAACACCTAAGTCACCAACATCCTAACAAAATGCTGTTCTTCTTTCTGGTTTCTTTACATCTGAAACTAAATTCACACTGCAATTTGCAATGGTTTTTTTTTTTTAAAAACAATGAGAATTATACCAAGACCGGGGTGTTCAAACTTCAGAGAAATCAAGATCACTCATGCTATACCCCTTCATTATATTCATAGGTAAGCCTTCAATTTACCCACATATTAGCCCCAGGGTTGCTGGCTGGAGTGAAATTTTCAGTTCGAGACAATTCTGCACACACATGCACATGAATGTAACAGTTTTATTGCCTTGTAAATAGTCTATAGAGTTTGCAAACTAGCCCAATTTAAAATATTTGATGTAAGATTTCTTGCGTGAGCGTCTGAAAGTGTGTCGCGCCAGATGCGTGAGAGCTGTTTTTAAAATTGTCTATTATCATTTCACCATATAAGAATATGTGTGCACATGAACATTTGCGTACCGCGCCCCACATGGATGAAATGTTTCTCTGGAGTTAGGGTGCAATTTAAGATGAAGTAAAAATAAATAAAAAACAAGAAAAAAAACATCATTCACACCTCTCAATCAATCCTACATCCAATATAAAAGGATTAAAGTCAGTTATTTAGACACCTATATGCATGTGAACATCCACATATATATACACACACACATGCATACATTTTACACAAGACCAGAACATCAAACTTTAGCAGCATCAATGGCGAACAAATACGCGAAGTCCAAGCATTGTTGTGGTTCTTGACTAGAATACAAACATTGAAGCTGCAGGTAGGATGAGGTGTACGCCAAGGAACATGATTTTTTGTTTTACCCTGTCTACAGTAAGCGGTGGAGGAGCCTTGGGGGTCCACAACCATCTCTGGTTTTAGCCACAATTAAGCATAAAGTTGTTCTCTTTGCGCCGGTCCGCAAGCTGCTCTACCTCTCATGGGCGTTGTTAGGTCGGGGCTATAGCCCCGAGTATCTTAAGCCTAGCCCAGAGTATTTAGCCTTGATGCCAATCTTCCTTCAAAAGCGAAAAATGTCAAGTCCCAGGTGAACTTAGCCCCTGATCTGTACAATAGGTAGAAACGCCCCTGCTCCCTCCTCTTAATTTTGTAACTGGTTTCGCGTCATAGGTTACGAGAATTTGAATACCGGACGGATCCTTTCAAATAATATTTTGTATTATTTACACACACAAAAAAAACTTTTTTGTGCAAGAAGGTTTCCTGGTAGTACTGTATGTTAATTTGGAAACGGTTTCATTGCATAACGGGACAGTATAGGGGGACACACCTTAAGCACTAGATATCCGACAATATCAGGTCAATGTCCAATTTCTGACTACATATTTGTACATATTTGTATTTCTCACAGTGAATACTGGGATATGAGAATCTTTTACCAGATAATCTGCTGGAAGATAGATAGATGTTTAAGGCTGGAAACGCAAAGGAAATCGTTTTCTGCCTGGTTGATTGACAGGTGAAACTGCCAGTTAGAATTTAACTAACGGAAACACGCTGTCCAATAGTTATTTCACGAAGGGGCGGGATTACGTTTCAATGACCGACGACAAGGAAAGTATAATTGCAGACAGCACATTTTAAACCTACCTGGTGCAAATATTATGCATTTGGAAAATTTCCTTTTGAATTGCTATTTTCGGAACTGTCGTTTTCTTTTAATTTTTTTTTTTATCGAATATTTCTACCAGTTTTTTAAACGTCTTTAGGCACAGGATAAATAATTATCATTAAGTACCGATTGCAGAGTGAAGACGGGTGAAAGGAGGTAGAGAAATTAATTAAATCTTTAACTAAGATAAACGGTTACAAACTAAGAATTTTACTGTTTATTTATCTTAACTCGATCATTTTCTGGCAGTGCGGAATAAATCTAAATGATACACATAGATCCGACCCAATTTCAATGCTAATTCATTTTCACTCTCAATTCTATTTCCTGTAATAGCTCGGTATCAATAAATTAGAAAAAAAGAACACTATTATTTTATAATGGTTGAGGTTCGATGGTGGATTATAATAGTTGGTTGAGGTTCGATGTGCGGATATTCGTCTAGAACAGGAAATAATGTAATAATGCAGGAAATGTGTAACATGCGGTTATTTAAGTAAATACGCACTTTGTTGAGTGATATTCTTTTAGTACCATTTATTTTGCTTCGTGGATTTAAAAATGCCGTTTATTTATAAGGCTAACCATTCAAATGCCAGTGTTTGCCTTTTGTTTTGATAGTCACGACGCAAGATTACTACTTCGAGTTCCATGCCGGAATTCCTGACACTAACGCCGTAAACTTTGTAAAGATGCATAGAATTTCTGTTTCTTCTTCAGGGCTTTGGTGTGCCTCATTCAGAAGGAAGGAGGAAGATGAATAGCAGACATGAAGTATGTAAGGATGAAGTGCCCTGTGCGACTCAGGATCATATTGCGCGGTTCCACAGCTACATGCATGGTGGTACGTCCAGCTTGCTATCCACCGTAACAACATTAGTCACATTTCCTGTTTACAAGACCGTATTCCGCCAGCAGATACACAGCACCCTCGTTCGTGAGGCCATTGCTCAGCTTTATAGGGAAGGTCCATGGAAGCTCTACAGAGGGGTGGTGCCTCCGCTGCTGGTGAAGACGCTGCAGGGGACACTGTTGTTCGGCCTCCAAGACACGTTCATGCACCAGCTCTCAGATGTGCATTTCATCCCCCCACTCCTCTTGCCAGCTTTTGCAGGCCTTGGTGTAGGTATGGTGGAGGCCCTGGTCTTCACGCCCTTTGAGCGGGTACAGAACGTGATGCAGAACTCCAGCAATGACTGCAATCTGCCCACACTCCGGAGTGTGCTGTCACGGTTTCGTTCTGAGAGCCTGTCATCCGGGTTCTACAGGGGCCTGATGCCCACGATGATCCGCAACGCAATTGGTAGCAGCCTCTACTTCGGGCTGAAGGATCCAGTGCAGAGCATGCTCTGGCAGCAAGGTCTTTCACCAGGTGCATCGTCCTTTATGTCAGGTGTTCTCAACTCCATGATCATCAGTTTGCCCCTGTACCCACTCTCAGTTCTGGTGGCCAACATACAGGCCCAGGTTGTTGGAGGGCCGCGTGGGGCGTGGCAGTCTGGTGTCATGCTGTGGAACTCTCGGCAGCGCAGCGTCGCCCTCTTGTACCGTGGTGGTTCCCTGGTTATCTTTCGGTCCTGCCTTACCTGGGGCATTACAACAGCCATCTACGACAGCCTAGAAAGGCATACTTTCAAAGCTAACAATTCCAAGTAAAGTCTGCTCACACCATGTATGACTCTCGTCTCTGTTGCTTCAGGTATGACAATCTGCCAATCTCTCAATGGTTTGAAAAGACTTGTTTTTAAGTTAGACTGGTAATTCAAAAGGCAATACACGTTTCAGTATTTTAAAAGTTTGTTATATGTGTTTCTTATTTTATTTAATTCCTCAATCCATGCCATTACCACTGCTAGGAGTATATGTAAAAACATGGCAGAGCAGAAAGAAGTAGAGTGTAGTTTCACTGTGATTTTGGACCAGTTATGAAATTTCTGATTACAATTTCAAATGTGCATTCTGCATTATGAATTTCTTTTTAAAGAACTATCCTTATTGTGGTGTAAATGTTTTTTTGTATATGTATTTGCCATTCGGTGCCTTATGTTTACTGTCTTATTATTTTGTTGCTATGTGTTACTTTAGTATTATTGTTTTCTTAAGAAAAAAAATGGGTAATACCGGACACCTTTTACATATCAGAAGAATGTCTGGAAATCTGAAAAAAAAAAATGCCCTGTTTACTGTTATTCCCTATATTATCACCAGAGGGCAGTGTTAGCGCAAGTTATTTATTTATTTATTTAACTATTCTCTCGTGTTTTGATTTTTGATACTTGTTCATTTTTAATTTTTTATAGAAACTGTGCACTTTGTACAAAATTATTTGAATTGAAGTTGCATAGGCCTACCTACTGGCGGCACAGGAATTCTTGTAGTAAATTATATGCATATTTGGAATATATAGTAACACACAGCCTGAATGTGTTAAACTTCTTGCCATGTTATATTTCCTGAAAAATAAAATAAATTTTTCCTGTATTGACTAAATATGGAGTGGATAATTTATTTACAGTTTTAAGACATAGGATAAACGTAGCGCTTTAAACACAAGGCAAGTTTAGAGGAAATCTTTGCTGGCAAAATTTGTTGTGAGGAACCCCCCTGAATCACCAAACTGTACCATAGGCAGGGGCGGATTAAGATGTACAGAGGCCCCTAGGCTACAGTAGTCTGTGGGCCCCCCAACCCCGCCCCCCTCCGCGCCAATGGGGGCCCCCTTGCAGGCTGGCACACGTGGGGCCCCTAGGCTTAAGCCATATCTAGCCTGTGCGTTAATCCGCCCCTGACCATAGGTATGTATGTGTGGTGGGCAGAGCCGATCAAATCTACTTTTACAGGGGCCCTAGGCAAAGCTACAGTTGTCCCGGCTCCCCCCATACCAAGGAAATTAAACTTCTTCCGCAACACAGGTAATTTGGGGGCCCTGTAGGTACCTGCTTATTCTATAGCTAGAGGCGGCCATGTTTCTGCCAACACAACGCAACAATTTTAATTTGATGTATATGGTTTTATTTGTTTGTTCATTGTTGATTTGCTCTAAGCAGCTGCGTACTTTGCATATGCCTGAATCCTGCGCTGCATGTAGTGGCAAAGTAGCAGGGTTGATTTTTAATCGACGTTCTCTACTGTGTATCATCTGTCCTATTACTGTCACAGTATCACTTAACTATTTTAGTATTAGCATTATTCAGATCCTAAACGGAATTAATTTGCCCATTAATAAACCCATTGGTTATTTTATTACCATATTCGTTCTGATTGAGTGATACCAGATCATCAATGAAACCGTGTTTTGAACTGGGGGAGGGTGTCATGAAATTGCTGCTCGAAACTCATTTGCGCTGCTCTTACTTTCTTGTAATATGCAAAAGTCCATGCAAATTCTCGGAAGTGAATGCTAGCTTTCATTGTAAACCCCGGGCTGCAAACTTGTCATAATTTGACAGAGAAAACAGCTGCATTACTATATTTTTGTTTTAGACTGCATTCCAAATATGAAATAAACTCTTTAGAAAGAAAAATTCTTTGGTGGTGAAATTCTTATGAAATTCTTGATTGTCCACATGGTGGCGCTGTCACTTAGCTTTTTAATACCTCCCTTTTTCTCACTTTAAGCAGTAGGCGTATATTACAGTAACTGCGTTAGCGTTCAACGGTACTCAAATAGTATCCAATAAGCTACCATTAGCTCATAGAAGAATAATTAGATTGGATTATTTAGCGAAATATAATTGGTCTGAAACTAAATGATCGTAGCTCTGACCAATAGTGTACAATGATGGAAAATTCTGGCCAATCAGTGTGAGGGGGAGGATAACTGTTGAAAGACACTTAAAGGCGTGCTGAATTATTTAAACACCTTTCTCCACACGATATCACAGTACTACTCTGAGGAATTTGCTGCAATTTTGTGATCTGGTAATCCCAGGTAAGACAGCAAGACAGGATTTTTTACAGAATGCAGAAGTTAACGTTTTATATCTGCTATGATTGCTGATTGATTGCTCAGTTAGACCTCTTGTGGTTTATTAATTATATAATTATATATACGATGTATTCGGAGGTGAAATATGATTTATTGGCTACTGTAGCCGTGAAGATACCATTTTAGATGCTATGTAGCTGCTCTACACCTCGATGCAATTAGAAAATCGCAGACAATTCCAGATAATGTGAGTGGACAGTGGTAATTCAGGTCGCAGTCTTCCTGTAGTACTATTTCCCCTTTTTACCTTCTACGATGTTCTGTCCATTATATTTAAAAACTAAAAGAATGCGTTTACATTCAGTTCAGTGAATTTACTAATGAATATACCTTGGCAAGGAAGGGTGCAGCGCTGAACATACAAAATGTTTTATTACTACTTGTGATAACCATGTTTTATTTTACCTCTATGAGTCATTGCTATTATTATTATTATTATTATTATTATTATTATTATTATTATTATTATTATTACTACTACTACTACTACTACTACTACTACATTTCTAGCAGGTTGCACCGTAAACTATCTTGCTAGGTTATTGATTTAGAGTATATGAATCGACATGCTTTATATTGAACATATACATTCCTTTGCAGATCATCTTGTGCACGCGCTCACTAGCGCACTAGGGAGTGACTGCTGCGGTTTCTCTGAGGAAGTGCTGTCAAGTTATTGTATAATACTGAGTTAACGTGTTACATAATATAAACTGTTATTGGCTAAATTAGCATGCTAATATTTTGGTAGTGATCGGAGGCACTTAAACGAGGTGTGCGGAAATGCCGTTACCTAACCTTTCAAGAGCCCCACCCATACCATCCCTACATTTTAAATGTCGCTCTTTTGGAGAAACACTTATTATAGTGGATGTACGGGTAGGAGGCAGCCACACCTTTGCAGTTTAGATACGATTCATCTCCATAAAGGGCCCTGAAAATCGTAAGAATAGGCTGTGCCCTAAGGTGCTGTTTAGTTTGTATAAATGGACCTTATTTCGTATGCATTTTCAGAGTACAAAGGTGTATTACCATCAATGGCTCACACCGAACATGACGATTTCATAGCCTTCTCATTTTACTGCTGCATTACTAGAGGGAAGTGAAGGTGATTCCATGGGTGCGTGTTTTTTTCTTTTTCCAGATAAGCAGTCTTTGTTGCTGAGCTGAATTTAATTTGGAACAGCATATTCTACACAATCTTTGACACATTTTATGATTATTTGATTTTGAACTGCTGTTAAAAATGAAGAAGCTTTAATTACAATATTAACACAGGTTGTAAATTCTGTAAATTCATTGAACCTGAACTTTTTTTTCATTTTCTCAAATCATATCCAAACTTCTAATGTCCTAAGTCAAATTGCAAACTTTATTTAATTGTACTAAATTCCCTGTGGCACTAAAGCCAAGGCCGTGACCATGGGTCATGGTTGTGAAATTCACTTCGGACAACTCCCAAACTTAATTCTGTGTAGGAAGAAAGGTATAATGACCTTTTTATTTCTAGACCAAAACGATTAATTAGTCTCTGGGACAAAAGAATTAAGTAGATATTCAGCGTCAAGTGAGTTTACAACAAAAGACTTCAAGCATTGCTTTCTTGACAAGGTAAGCTTCTGGTCCCACCCTATCCAAACTGCAGTGATGCTGATTTCACACTACAGAATAGGTCTTTCCCTACGCAGCAGTTTGCGCGCACTGCAGGGAAGGAGGCGTGGGGGGTGCAGTGAAGGCCTGGGTACTGCAGAAGTCTGTATTGTGCTAGGGGAGTAGAGGAGAGTGTCAGAGCTGGGGTGAAGAGTTTTATCTGTTCAATGACACAGGGGCAGAAAAGCAACAGGATGCATCTGGTTGTACTGGATCAGCCTGGTATTGTGAGATTGTGGTAATCAGAGTTCCCCCTATTAGAATCATGTTACTGTTATGACTGGGATCTTCAACATCAGTGGTTGTTGTGAACTATTACCAAACTGGGCTGTTCTGTAACAGTATCGGCAATTTATGATCCACGTAAATTTTCTGTATATCCATTGATAAAAATAATTGATCAGATAGAGAAACTGACACAAGTGAGCAGACTCCTTGGGTCTTGATTAGATGGAGACGAAAAAGTAGCTGTTCTTTAACAGTTGTGGATTAAACAATTAGGAACTGGGAATCGTTGAAGAAGGTTGACTGGTTGCTGTGTCCTCCGTGCCATTCTCTTCAGCCCATGAGTGAACCTTCTTTTGGTACTTGGTATCTGGTATGATCTGTACCTGACAGAAAGAGAACTGTACATGACTGACATCAACTACAGGAATGATTACATCTTTCTGGCTTCTCTTTCAAAGTATTTCGCAAACAAAATGGAGACTAATCTTGTTTTCATCAAGCAACCGCCTTGAAAAACTATGCTAATTGGAAGTAGCTACCATTCAGGATGGCCCCTTCTCCTCCACAGGGACGTGCCAAAATGAGCGACAACAATCCAGTCAACGAGCAAGTTCAGAACTTCGATAAGAAGTGTCTAAAGAAGACCACCACATCTGAAAAGAATACCCTTCCCACCAAGGAGGGTGAGAGCGATTTCTTTCCTTTGACTATTTGTGTTGTCTCCTTGCTCTCTGTTTTTCATTTTTATTCTGTATGGTTGTTATGGAGTCTGAAATTCTGCCATTAATCACAAAAGTGTCTGTGTATGTGTAATCTAATATGTTCAAATGCTACTTTTTCCTACTGCCAATGTTGGTACTGCGAGTGCACCACAGTGTCTGTAAGTGTCCCTCACGTGCCTTGGGATAGGTATTCTTGTTCAGACACTTGCTAGTTAATGTTTGGCCACACATAAAATTGTTAAATCACAATCAGTTGTAATTCCAATCTCCCCACAAAGACAATATACTTTATAGCTTGACTAACAGGGACTGGCAAAGCATACAGTGGGAACAGCGAGAAGGAGAGGAAGGAAATTGGTTGTTTCTATAAATTCATTACTCACTCCTAATAACGAACAGTGTTGAAAGCATGTGTAGCTACAGCTTTTGCTCTGATGATAAAGTCACGTACACATTAATGGAACTTCTGAACCCACATGCAGCAGTGTGGCACTGGCAGACGCATGGATCACGGCTTGATTTTTAGCAATGCAGCATACAGCACTGGGCAAAATGCCCAAAGCCCAGCTTGCATCCGGCCATAGACACAGGGATTCCCGTAGTCCTTCACAATCCATTACCCCTGTTTTGGGCCACCCACACTTAGTGGAGGAAAAACCTGCAGAAAGTCTGTCTGTTGTTGGTGTGCTCCATGCTCATTTAAATCAACCACTTTAGTTTCACAAGATATGAAGAAGATGAGCTGATTGCTGATGTTTCGGCAGCGATGCGTCGCAGGTGTTTTTGATGACATTTGACGACTCATTCCCCGTCAATCTTCTGCCCTATGCCACAGATATCATGTGCCGATTAAAAACATACTTCAGCTTGTTTACAGTGCTCAAAGACACACTGACTTCCTCGTGTCGTCCTGCCCCCATCAGATATCGAGCAGGAGAAGCGAGCGGAGGCCTCCAAATGAAACAACGGAACTCCCGAG